AAACGATAAAATTTATATAAAAAACAAACACATAATTACAACCGGCTCACTAGCCGAATAAAGGAGGACTACTCCAACAGGTAGCCTAGAACACAACACACAACAAAAAACACACAAAAATTAAAAACTCCACTAATGAGGAATACATACTCCCCACAGGAGAATTCACACTCCTAAAAACGGAGTAAAACACCGAACCCAACTTTCAAAATAATTTTTTTTCACAACAGACCGAAAAATAAAAAGGAAAATCAAGAAAGTAAAGATATATTTCTGAAGATGTGCTCTAAATCTAACTACTTTGGACTATTGTGGTTGGATATAACTAGGTCTAAGACCTTTTTACTGAAAAAATTAAATCTATCGCCGAAAAGGAGATTGAAAAAAAAAAATGTATTATAAAGATAAGATGAATTTGAGACTTGTGAGTGAATATAAGATAAAAATATAATTATTAAAATTAATGTAATAGGAAAATAATAGAATATTAGTTGACATAACTACAAGCGGACTATGTGGGTGTAGTATACATAATATTATTTATTGAAAAAAATGTGTAATAATAATTGTTTTTAATTTTTAAATTGTATAAATGGGATTGTAGTGGGAAAGTGAAATGAGATAAACTAAATACTTTTTATTTTCAATTCACGTCTCAATGAGAAAAATCAATCTTTTTTTTTTTTTTGACAAGGAGAAAANAAAATCAATCTTAACTGACCAAACAAAAATGAAAAATGTTTCATATCATTCCCGCGCTTATGGTCGCAATTGGTTTTAAATATTTTGTATCAAATTGATTTATTGAAAAAAAAGTGAATTAAGATTGAATAAAGTCGATTGATTGAAAATATGACTTTAATTTTGAATTTTCACGTGAATATGAGTTAAAATGTACATATTAAAGTTGATCGACATAAGAGTAGTAAAATAATGGTGGCAAATAATTGATAGTTAAAAAATATTTTATTTGATGAATATTGACTTTTGTTAGAAATTATGCAGTAATAATGATCGACATTATTTAATTATACTGATAGAATTGAGAAAAGTTAAGTTGAGATGAATGAAAATGAAATTTCGGATTACAAATTTTGAATTCGATCGTAGTTCTGTTAAGAAATTTGAGTAAAAAAAA